AACTACCATGCAGTGGAGTGACCGCCTTCATCAAAGGTTAAGAATAACAGTCACAGTTTAAAAAAAAAAAAAAAGTCCTTTTATTGAGTGATTACTTGGTGCAGAGCACTAAGCTAAATTCTAAATTATCTTATTAATGATCACAGTAATTTTGAGTAAGGCTCCCTTCTTCATTTAATGAATGAAAAGCCTGAGACTCAAAGAGGCTGAGAAGTCAGCCCCCAAAAAGCTAAAGCCCAAATCCAGGCTTATTGCACTCTGCTTTGCCCTGAGGGAGGCCTCCAGGCAGAGCGTGAATGACCCACATTGGCGCATCACAGTGGCAGGGGGCATCGCATCTATCAGAGAGATCACCTCCGTAGTCCCTTATGACTCCATTTTCTGGGATGAGGGAGAATATGCTAAGTATCAGGGAACCTTTGGGGAAGAAATTCACATTAGTGCCGAGGGTGGATTTCTCTGGTGTGCTTATGGGTGGGAGAGGCGGGGAGACCTGTAGTCCCCAAAACATTCATTCTTACTAAACTTTATCATAAGCATTTGAACACCTGCTGCGTGCCAGGCCTGTGCTCGCCGCTTCACTGCCGTATCTTATTTAAGATAAGGCATTATTATCATTTCCTCATTTTAGGGATATGACAGCTGAGGTTCATAGAGGTTCAGTCATCTGCTCAGCACCTTACCAGCTAGTGAACTATATAGACCAAGATCACAAATCAAGGTTAGCCTGACACCTGAGCCCAGTTAGCCTGCTCCCCAATCAAAAGGTACGAGGGATGCTTTGCTGACCACAGCCGCAATTTTAACTTTGAGGAGAATTTGGAGAGTGATCAAAGGCAGTAGACTCAGATGACACGATGCTCATCAACTCTATACTGTGTCTACGTAGGGATGGCGGGGGAAGCGATGCGGCCTGTGACTATTATATTGAATTAGGTTATTGCTTTGTAAGGACTTATCTTGATCCAAAGTAACTGCAGCGACAATCCTGTACAGCTGGGGCTCGTGAATAGTCAGAATGGTCAGCTTTGTATCTCTGCATATACATACAGGTGTATGTATATACACATATATTTTTTCCCCAAACTGTGACTTATTATTTAAGGGACATTTAAGGGATTTTTTAAAAGAAATTAAAAAACACATTTAAAAAAAAAAGGGACTTGGAATTTCCCGACAGAGGAGAAACAGCGCTTGGGCATCTGTCATGTTCTACAGCATTCCTCATTTGTGTAGCAAGAACGTGTTTGCTCAACATGAAGGGTTTACATTGCTCAAACTCCTGTTTATAGCTTTTCTCCTCGAAGCAATAAGTCATCAGCAAAGTGACTTACTGGATTTGGTGGGTTTTCTGGTATATTCAGTTATTATGAGTCAAGGATGGAGCACTGAGCACATTCCATAAAAAGTGTAAATGGTGGAAATTAGGTCTCAATTATTTTATAGATGGTAACACAAATAGCTCAAAGTCTAGAACTACACTTAGAAATAGGAATTCTGGCCTTCGGAAAAGACCAACACTGCAAGTGTGTCCAGTCTGGAAGACACCTCGCATGAATGGAAAATGGAAATGTTCGCATTCATTCATTCACTCGCTCATTTATTCAGTGCCTTTCTATATCCCCACCCAGACACGGGTACCTCGAGGGCAGGTGTTGGATGGATGGAGAGATGGATGTGAGAGCGTGTCTGTGGCCAGCTGCCTTAGGAAGCAAGGGTGACAAGAAGTGTAAGGGAGGCTGCGTGAGACAGGGGAGACATTTCTGACTCTGGGAATCAAGTGGATCGTTCTATACTTTATTCCTTACTGGAAGTCCTCACTCGACTCATCTAAGCCACAGTTTCCTCAGCTGTGAGATGTAGAAAATAATAGTGGCTGCCTTGCGGTGGTGATGATGTAATGATTAAAATGCACGTTGCATGCAAAATTTTAGACTAGAGTTTGGCACAGGAAGAGCATTTCACAAACACATCTATTATTAGCTGAGTCTCCGTTGCCTCATGAACTGGGGGTGATCGGCGGGGCTGGTGTAAGACTTGGAGTCAATGTGTGTCTCTCATACTTTGCTTCTTTAGTTCCTACTTCGAAATAGCAAATGCAAAGCAGAAGTCCCCAATATTCAGTCGAATGCTTTTTTCCTTTAATCATGTGCCGCTTGATCCTTGAACTTTTTGATTTTTATGTTTTCATTCGATGCTGTCATTTGATTCAATGCCCAGCTTCTTCAAGGCCGGAAGGGTGTCATATTTTACTGTGTCTCTCAAATCAGCGGGCTATGTAGTACACGCTCAGCTTTATAAACAGACGTGCGGATGGTTGCAATGAATTGAATGACACATTTGATAACTTCCAGCCAAATCCTCATCAGCCACTACTTCTCAAAACACATTATGCTATGACAATAAAGAACAGTGGAAGAATGGATTCCAATAAAAAATAATAATAATTGCTACATGAATTGTTTCCAAGAATATTTCTATTCCGAAGCAAACTTTTTTTTTTTTCAAAATTGGAAGACAGATCATAGAGTTCTGTGGATGCCTTAGAATGAATGTGTAGACTTTGGGGGAAATTTCTGGTGGTTGACGTTTTGGAAAAATGACTTAGGATGTTAAAAAGAAGCAGCAGACCCCAAATGGAGTCACCTGTACTAAGCCCCACCAAGACACGATCTCCAACCTAAATGCCGTTTCAGCCTCTCCCAGGACTGGAATTTTAAACCGATGAGTCTAGCATTTTATGGTCACATTCCTAATGATGTAGTTGGCCTGATAAGATCTGCTGCTTCCCCTAGGGAAAGGTGACCTTGCTTGAAATAATCTACTCTTTTAAGTTTCTCATCCTACCCGCTTTCTGCCAATTAAAACCTTCCCATTTTGTACCACTCCTTGGAGCCCCTTGTGCTTGCTAGATGGGATGATGCCCGATTTGTGAATCACTAATTAAACCCAATTAAATCTTCAAATTTACTTAGCTGAATTTTGTTCTTTAACAAAATGAAATGGTCAGAGCATTTTATGATAAAGGTTAAACAAGCACATAGCACAGATGTCAGTGTTCTCCATCGCCCCCATTGATAAAATTAAAATATGAAAGCATCTGATGTACTCAGAGGTCCGAGTTCTAGCTGAGCCTGGGTTCTTTCCAAATATAGGACAGGGAAAAAATGACTTCTCAGGAGATGAGAAAGCTGGTTTCATATATTATATTCTGTAAAAGAATATCTCCAGATCTGCATACGAAACCGGGCTGTTCTCGTCTTTCACACAGTACTAACCAAGTGGATTTCTTAAAAGTCCGCTCCATAAAAAGGGAGAGGAAGCTGCTAGAAGCAAGGTTCTTGACAGCAGTGAGAAGATGCCAGCTTGCCAGGAAAGGAGAAAAAAAAAAATTGAGAACCAGATTGAAAATTTGATAAAAGCAGGTCACCCGTCTTGGTGGGACTACTTAATGGAGGGACAGACAATACACAGGCAATTCAAGCCTTCAGGGCATCTGCAGTATTAGAACTAGGAACTAACTGATGTTCTACAATCCCAAGACAGCAATAGGTGCTTGCATTCGTCACAAGCTCAGTCGACTGTTTTCAAAGCTGGAGGGATATAATCCATTTTGGAAATGGCTGGACAAGGCTTGTAATCTCTTGAGCTTTGGATTTCCCGTCTATGAAGCAAGGATAACTCAGTCACACATATAAAGAGAAAGGGGTAAAAGAAAGTATTGTATGTGCTAAATATTGTTATTCTTAGAGGAAGTGTTTATTTAACGAAAATCTCTTGTTATGTGCTGCAGTATTGTGCAGGCCCCCGGGATACCAAATAAATGCGAGTGACAGAGGAAAAGCAATGTAAAGGTGAGGCACATTATAAATGCTGTGTACACTACTGCGGCCAGCTCTGCAGGGTGCCACTGCTGCACGGTCAGTGCTTCCTAGGGAGGGAGAGGCCTTCAGGAAACACGTCTCAGAGCAGGGATGAAAGAGGGCCTGTCCTGTGACAATGAGTTTGGCTGTCAATGGATTTAATTTTGCAAAGGATGTAGCCACTCGCCCGCCACAACTACATCAATAACTGGGAGCCTCTGCTGCATGTATGTGGGGGAGGGGCGGGAGTAGAGCTGACTCAGTCAGAGTTGATTGGACGGCAAGTGAACATGTGAGTCCAGTTGGGCCAATTAGGTTCTTCCCCTTAAGGAGGGGATCCTGGACCAGAAAAAGGACAACAGGAAGAAACTAGTGAAATCCCAGGAAAGTGTGGAGCTTCACTAATAGCGATGTATCATTGTCGATTTCTCAGTTGTGCCCAATGTGTCATAGGAACCTAAGACATTAATAAGAGAAACCAGGTGTGCGGCACATGGGAGATCTCTGTAGTATCTTTGCAACTGGTTTGTAAATTTAAACTAATCTTAAAAGTTTAAATAAAAATAAGAGGTTATACTAGAACTTATTGTGTTTACATTTTTTCCAATAGAAATGAGTATTGCAGTGGTTGCCATTGGGTGTGGGAGAAATGGTCTGTCCACATACATTTCTGTAATAAAAATAAAACACAAAAAAAGGTGTTTCCTTCTGATTATACGTTGAAAAACTTTATCCTGTTGTCACTGTGTGTCCAAGCTATTGGGCACTTGAAATGGGGCTGGTACGAATTGAGATGTACTGTGACATGAGATACACACAGATTTTCTCAGTATGAAGAAAAGAACGTGATATATCTTCATTGTGACATTGATTCTAGGTCAAAATAGTAATATTTCGAATATGTTGGGTTAAATGAAATGCATCACTAAAATTAATTGCACTCGTTTCTGTTTCTTAATGTGGCTTCTAAGAAGTTTGAAGTTACATCTGTGGCTCAGATTATATTTTTACTGGACAGCGATGCTCTAATGCAAAGGTGAAGGGCATGTGGCAGGACGCCCCAGGTCAGGACACAACCTGTCTCTCTACTGCGATGCCACAAACACGATCTCTCAGAGAGAGCAGAAAGACACAAGCCACTGCAAAGTTACAAATTTATTGGTCTGGAAATAAATACAAATATCTCATTAAGAAACTCCTCTGGAAAGACTTGTACACAACAGTTTCCTGTCTCCATTCAGCTACTCCTGCCCTGACCCCTGACCTTTCTGCGCAAGGTCAGGGGAAGCCTCTCAGGTGTAGGTGGCAGGTCAACTGAGTCATTACCCCCTCGAGCTACCTAGAAGGCTTGACTATTTCCTTCTACCACGAGGTCCCCGCAGCTGATTCGCAATGTTCCATTCACTCTGATCAAACTTCCTCTAAGAAGATCCATGGTTAGCCAAAACGAAAATTCAAAAGGCAGTAGTACAGGAACTTTACAGCTACGCTGACGTTGCCCTAAATGTCAGTGGTGCCACCCCATTCAGACAGAGGAAGTTAAGAGGGGCAGGGAAGAGGGGAAGGTGGGAGAGGGAAAGACACAGCATGGGATATACATTCCAGAATCTTACGTCTTCTCAGCCACCACTGCCCGCCCGAATCCCCACCGCATACAAGAGCGAACAGTTCTATCTGAAGATCCAGGAATGTCAAGCTCAGATTCAACCTCAGTTATCAAAGATTGCAAGCTGGATTAAATCAATCACGCAAGATTCCTGGGAACCAGGACGGAGTCAATTGAAACCACGACTGCACTAGATCCCATCACAACAACCACAAGGAACCTCCTACGTCTAGTACCCAAACCCCTCCCCCACCCCGACACCCCTGCCCCCACTGCGTGGAGATGCACCACAGCCAGGGACAGCTGTGCGGAATGTCCCCTCCACGTCAAGGAAAGCAACTGAACTCTAAATGATCTTCCCATGAATGAAATAAGCACCCGCTCATGTATTTGGGGTGAGAAGGAAGAGGCAGATAGCATAGCCAAAGCCTTAAATCCATGGTAACAAACGTTTGTCGAGACCGTTTCTTTGCAAAGCCAGAGATTTTCTTGCCACTTTCGTGTCTATTAAAGAAATGCCAGAAAGGCAGGCTTGTATGCTTCGGCATTTAAAAGTGTATATATGCAAAAACTTTAAAAATCAATTTCAAGTTAACTACGTAGATCTGCTTTTCCAAACTCTTCTAGCCTCCACGTAAATTCTACCATTTTTTCCCGCTCCCTATTTGGCCTAGGAAAAAGAGGAACCCACGATTCATTGCTCTCCTCCTTTCCGAATCAGAAAAGTTTTCTTTCCAGGAAGTGGGTCTGTTTTTCTTCAGGTGGAGAGGAAACTGGAAGCAGGTGGGCGGGGCTTCCGACAAAAAGCCCCTTAGAACCAGGATGCCCCGGTCAGCAGAGGTTCGGATTTATGAAGTGTTTGCTAGTGTGTTTCTTGTTTTTGGCAGTTTGGCATCTCTGGGAGAGGGTAAGACACTGGCCATTAGGCCACTCGTAATGAAAACAGGACACTGAGATGCTTCTTTTCCTTTGGTCCACCCGCCCTGCCCTCCGAAAGGGCGCCCTCGACAGACCCCATCTAACTTTGTCACCACCCGAGCTCACTCTTACAAAATAAGCTTTGGATTAATACCAAGTTACGTGCGGTGTGGCAGGCGGGGAACGGGAAGGGGCTGGAGGAGGGGGCAGCTACAGCGATCCCAGAGTCCAGGGGGCAGATGTCCACACGGGCCGCCTAGCAGGACACCTCCATGGACTTGGGCCCGGTGTTGTTCCCAGTGGCACCAGAATTGGGGGTGATGTCCAGGCGGGCACCCTCGCTGGTGTGGGAGCGGCTGCGGGCGCCCTCGCTGGTGTGGGAGCGGCTACGGGTGCCCTCGCTGGTGTGGGAGCGGCTGCGGGCACCCTCCAGGGACGTGACACTGGAGCCCGAGGCCGTGCGGGAACGCATCAGGCGGGTCATGCTGGCGGAGGGCACTGGGGAGAGAGGCGAGAACCGGTTAAGGGATGCGGGAATGCTAGAGGCACCTGCACCCCAGCGATGGTGCCTTCTCTGTGCCCAACCTGGCTGAGCATCTTTGAGTCCCATCCATCCTCACAGCAACCCAACCCCTGTAGCCACTCACGGAGGTGGAAAGCGAGGTCCAGACCCGGTAAAGACTTCCTGCAATCACACAGTGGCTGGAACCCAGAGCTGGGTCTGAATCCCAGTTCTGCCACTTGTTTACCAGCTGTGTGACTTGGGGAATGTCCCTTTCTGAGCCCTCTGTAAAATGGCAATTCTGATATTGACTCCAAAGTATCAGTGCCCATGTGTACGCCCACCACCCTGTACTGTCAACCAGCACTGGGATACGGAAGACGCTGAAGGTGAGCTGGACCACTCCCTGCAGGTGGGGAAACCGAGGCCGCACAGCGAGTTTGCGGCAGAGCTGTCAGTGTGGTCTCTTCCCCAAGAAGCCCATGAGCTACCAGGAATTATCAAGGGCACTGTCCGTTCTTTGGGGCTTAAAACACCCTTGCACACGGCAGGTGGCTGACAAAGTAGAAAGAAGACAAGATGGTCCCCCAAGCTGTATTGTGTTGAATAGTGTCCCCCCAAAATTTATGCGAACTGGAACCTCAAAATGTAGCCTTATTTGGAAAGGTCTTTATAGCTATTTTAAGGTAAGGCGAGGCCACAGTAGGTTAAGGTGAGCTCTAATGCAACGGCCGGCGTCATTACAATAGGAGACAGACACAGACACACAGGACTGTGGAGGCAGAGGCAAGGATGACAATGACGCAGCTACAAGCCAAGGAACACCAAGGACGGCCAGTGACACCAGGGGCCGGGAGAGACAGGGCGGGAACCTTCTAGAACCTTCGGAGGGAGCACAGCCCTGTCTACATCCCGATTTTGCATTTCCGGCCTCTAGTACTGTAGTACTGTGAGAGGATAAATTTCTATTGCATTAATCTACCCAGTTAGCAGGGATTTGTCACGGCGGCCACAGGAAACCAACGCACCAGCTAATTGCAGCATTACTGCAAAAGCCACACTGAGTAACGGAGGTCATACACTGAGGCAGCCGAGAGCATTCGCTCGATGGGCACATGCGTTGGCTTTCTGTGGCAGACTCCCACACAGAGAGTTAACCTCTGCTGTCCAGAACTCCCTTCTCGACTGTAGGACAGTGTCACAGGTGCAAAGGGCGACTCGCTACTGGCCTGCCATCTGGAGCAGGCGCTCAATAAATGAGTACTTTCTCTTCAGTCACTGCCTCTGGGGCTCTAGCTTTTCTTCCTGTCTTCCCTCATCATCTGTAGGACGCCTTGGCTGATGGGAGGGGATAAACAAGGCCTGCCTTTTGCTTGCTTTCTCCCCATAATACACTTGCAAAGCAGAAAGCCAGACCCAGGGAAGGCCAAGAGCAATGAGTTGCGATTCACACCCCGTAAGGTCAACGCAGCCCGTCGGCGGCTATCTCGTTACTGCCTTTTCTTGCACTTTCCCACAGCGAAAGCAGCTCGAAAGGCAGGAGACGCACAGGCAGATGTTTTCTGTTCAAAGAGGTCACCTTAGGAGATGGATCCTGCCCAAAGCACATAAATCAGGCTCGTCCGCTCTCAGCCTCACTGGAAACTGAACGTGGCTGAGGCCACTTTTAAGCCTGTGGTCAGTTTACCAAACATACCGTTCTGATTTTAAACAAGCGAACAGTTTAAAATCTCGAGAGAAAAAAGCGAAAGGGACTAGAAATACAAAGTCTTCCTAGTTCAGATGGGCACATAAATTATAAGTCCAGGCAGAAGGCAGAGAGAGCCAAAGAACCACATCAGGGCTCCGACCTCGGCGGACACACCGGCACGTACCAGCGGCGGCCACAGCTCAACAGAGCACTTAAATTTGGGATTGTCCGTCTGGGTCATGGGTCATGCATTTCTGAAAAAGGGCTGTGTCTGGGTAAACTATCACCATCATGCAGGAAGCAGCGAGTCCTTAAACCACGCTGCTTTTTATCCTTCAACTCTCAGATCTAACGATCTAATGAAGACACGCTCTGTCTTGACTATGAGCAACTGTATCAGCCAGAGACTGAGATTTTTGGTTTTCAAAGAACTTTCACAGATCTCACTGTGCTCCCTGCTTAACCTCTCAAAGCCTCGGTTCCACCATTCGTAAAATGAGGATGAGGGTGTCTCACAGGATTATTGTGATGGTTACACTAGAAAAAAAATAAACGATTGATTATCTTTCATCATCCCCATCTTCATCATCATAATTATCATCACCACCATCAGCAGCATCAGCAGCATCATCAGCATCATCACTACCACTGGAATTCTCTCAGGAAAGCGTGCAAGCAAAATGAAAAAGATTTTTCATGGTTTCACCGTCTGTCGTCTTCTTGGAGTTTAAAGGGACGGTCATCAACCTAAGTCTAAAATCACGTCCTGGTGTGAATCCAGAACACTCATCCAACCCTGGCCGAGAGTGTCATATTCCCGCTCCCACACCCGTCCCTCGGCCCGCCGCCTGTGGGAAACGCCGTACTTACTGTATCCCATGCCCTGCACGAAGTACTTGAAGGCCTCGGCAAGCTTGGCCGGCTGTAAGAGAAAAGGAGAGACGGTGCAGTCAGTTGCCAGAGGGGGCCACGTGGAGCTGTGTGTGTGGCCACTTCCGTCAAAGAGCTCGCCCAAGAGAGAAGGCCACCATGTGTTGACAGGACAATACACGAGAGTAAAGGAAAGGTTACGGGGTAATTATAAGAACCGAAATTAGCTTTGGCTAGGGAAAAGAAGTTTAAATTTATTTCAGAGCTGGGGGAGCTTGGTCAAGTTGCACGTCCCGTCTGAGCTCGTTTCTGCCCCTGTAAAATGTGGACAGAGCGCCACACCTACTCCTGAGGGTTTCTGCGAAGAAGACTGCGTTAGATAAGTGATGTGTCCAGCACGGTATCTACAATGTAATGGCCTCAACATCACGTGCCACTCACTGTGCTAAGGGCTTTGTAACATTATCTCATTTTCTCCTGACAACAGCCTTAAGAGGTTAGTGCCACTTTTACATAAATTTCATAGCTAAACAGCCTTAGAGAGGTAAATAATCCATCCAAAGTTCTATAATTAACCAGTGCTGGGTCCTGCAGACTAACCCAGGGCTTTCCAAAACCCATGATCTCAAGGCAGTTCACCCTTAACTTCCATATCAGGATGGATGGATGGATAGGTGGATGGATGGATGGATCGATGGATGGATCGATGGATGGAAAGAAAGACAAAATGGAAAGGACAGACGAATAGATGAACAGATAGATGGCAAGACAAACAAATTAATCAATTAACTGGGCTATTTAAGTGAAACGAGTCGAGGATGCTGAGAACATACCCACTTCTTCGATCGCTCTCAAACATTTGCTCTAACCTGAACTAGGAGGTGAATATGCTCAAGCAGAGGATTGATGGATGGAAGGAAAGACAAAATGGAAAAGACAGACGAATAGATGAACAGATAGATGACAAGACAAACCAATTAATCAATTAACTGGGCTATTTAAGTGAAACGAGTCGAGGATGCTGAGAACATACCCACTTCTTCGATCGCTCTCAAACATTTGCTCTAACCTGAACTAGGAGGTGAATATGCTCAAGCAGAGGCCACATCCGGTCTGATCGGCTCCGGCCCTCGAACGCGATGCCCTGTGCCTGTTTTCTTCCTCCTACCTCGCTTCTCCAGTGAGAAGCCAGCAGCAGAAGCAGCGACCCCACCCACCTCCACCAACTCCTGCTACTATCCTACGGAGAGCCAAATGACATTCGAGGGAGAGGCTGCGATCAAATGGCCCTCTGGGGTTTGTGTGACAATGCAAAAAAGTGACGAGAGCTGCAGGTTGGGGCTGCAGAGAGCCAGGGCGGCCCGTGTGCAATATGGCGGAGGGGCACCAGCTTGAGAATGGGAGGACCTGGCCCCAAATGCGGCGCCCCCTGGGAGACCAGGGGCAGCGTCCCATCTTTTAGCCTCACCTTCCTCTTCCGTGCCATTGTGGTAAAATGCTTGCTCTTCCTATCTCTAGGGACAGTTGCAAGGATCAAATGGAACGAAGGGCGGGAACGTCCTTTGTAACCATACACCCAACTCGCGAGGGCAGGAGGAGGAGGCTTTACATGGTGCTCGGTCCGCCCGGGGTCCTCTCCTGGAAGCCTGGGCTAGTTCAGCTCCCGCCACGGCATTGAAACCAGGTTTTAATTGCGCCCAGGGCTAGACCTGTTCTCATTTCAAGCAGAGAAAGGAAGAAAAGAAGAGAGGGAAGGAAGAGAGATAGAAGGAAAATTGGCACCTCTTCTCCCCAGCCAAACTCACGAAGGCCCTGGAGTCCACTGTCTCGGCAGGTGTCTCAGGAGCAGGCCGGATGGGGACACGGCTCCATCACTAATGTGCAGTATGACCTCATGCTCACATCTAAGCTGGGCTCAACCGGGAGCCCATCTGTTCCCTCGGGCGACTGGGACATCCCTTTCTTCTCTGGCTACTCCCAGGTACAAATGGGCAAAACACCCAAGCAGATAAAACTCTCGAAAATATCTTTGCTAGAGGGAGACGCTGTGGGAACAGGCCAGATGGGCTAAGAGAGCCACCGAAGGCCTCCGCGCCTATGCATCCGTGCAGAGTAAAATGCTGCAGAGAGACAGGCCCCACGGCAATGAGCAAAGACCCAGTATCTGCCTGGTGCAGACACCTGCTGTGCAGGTGGTCCCAAGGCCACTTGGCCTCTTCTTCAGATGCCCAGTGGAAAACTTCACTGCCCTACACAGAAGACTGTTCAGCTGGGACAGCTCCAGCTGCTCAGATTTTATTCTGCACCCAGATGGACCGCAGAGCCGTCATCCACTCAACGGGGACTCACAGCCAAGACCCTCTCCCTTTTCCATCGGACAGCCTTCGAAATTGGTGGAGCCACGTGAAATTAATCAGAGAACTGATCCTTTCCAAACTGAGAAAGTCCTCTGTAGCACCACACGGAGAGCCTGCGGTTCTGGGGTCAGGCACACCTAGATTCTGGTCCACAACTGCCAAGCTGCACCCCTGCAGATCCCTGTTCCATTGTGCCACAGGGGTTTCTGGGGGATCGAATGAGTCCTCACGTGCAAGCCCCTTTTATAAATAGTAACATGTCCACAAAGTGTCATCAGATGTCACGGCCAGGTGGGTGATGAGCAGGCAGTGAGGGAGAAAGCAGTAAGAGGTCACAGAGGCATATGCCCTCCACCTGGGAAGTGGCGACAGGTGGGACTCACCTGGGACACCTGTGGGAGGCCACCGCAATCTGCCATCTGGAAGAGAGGGAAGCTGGTTAGTGCCAAACACCCCAGCAGAGGCAACTCTCGCTCTGTGGGCGCCCACCCTGCCCACTGCCCCGCTCTGCAGAGTGGGGACCGGGCCTATCACAGGTGGGCAAACACCTGACCCCACCTAGCAAGGCTGCTGTAATTACTGAGCTGTGTCTGCTTGGCAACCGTGACTTGTAACTTCTGAGATGCCAGGTGAGTCCCACCTGTCACCACTCCCCAGGTGGAGGGCGTATGCCTCCGCTAGGCCCTGTAGATAATTTCACTCTGTTCTCTCAGAAGCCTGGCAGGGACGACTGTCCCATTTAAGAGGCAGAAACCAGGCCGGACAGAGCTCAAGGAACTTGCAAGATTCCAGCCAGGGTCTGCGTGCCCAGGAAGTGTTCCCTCAGCGAGGCCCTGTATGCCCATTCTCTACAGGTTCCCTCAGAAGGAAATCACTAGACTCAAGACTCCTAGTCTCATGGGCCACCCTTGGTAGATGTGGTAACTTGCCAGGTTCCTACTGAATCATCAAACCTAAAGCCATTGGCCCTTATTGAAGCCACTCCGGGCACGTGTGAGCGTTTACCGGAAGTGGAGATGAGCCGGGCCCAGGCTCAGGAGCACTCAGCAGCAGGGTGAGGAGTGGGTGGGGATAGCTTTGGGGAAAACAGACCGTAAGGAGTCACGGGAGTGGGTGAGGCCGGGAGTCCTCCAGCCCAGTCCCAAGGTCAGATCCCAAGGGCTACACACTACAGCCCGTCAACTCCGGGGGTCCCAGAGAGGGACCATCTCATCTTTCTAGCCTTGGGCTACTGACCTTGGGCTGCTGACCAGTGCCCAATAGATGTTTCTGTACAGACGCATTAAATAATTTTTCCTATGGTTTCTGGCCACCAGTTCTGTCTCCGTCAAGCACAACTCAATTTTGCAGAAAACATAGGAGCTTCTAAGGAAGAACAAATACAAACTCATCATTTTCCCCGTACCTTGAGGAGGGTGGTCTTTGTTGGGTCCAGTTTCGAGTTGCACTCCACCTGGACAAGGAAAGGGAGAAGAGATTTGTTAATCTCCCTGGAGCTAACGTCACAACCTTCCCCCTTCCCTGCCACCACCATCAGAAGCTCCAGTGTTCCTACTGGCCTACAAGGAAGAACGTGGCTTTGGGATTAAACAGATGTCACTTTAAATCCCAGCCCTGCTATTGATCTTGGACGAGTTACTTAACTTCTTTGAGCCTCAGTTTTCTCATCAATAAAATGGGGATGTTATCTTTTTAAAGGGGTTATTAAACCTAAAATGTAGAAGATGCTCTAGAAATATTTGATGAATGAATGGCCTTGCAGCCAGTGATTCTACAGGTCTGATATCCCCAGTGCCAACAACTATTCTTCATAAGGAATCACCTGCACCAAGCTGTTTCTCTCTTCAATCTGTCAATGAGCATCTTAAAAGTGCATATAGAACCAGGCAGAGTACCAACTCGTAACCTGTGGTGTTCAGAGTGCCTACAGTAGAACTATCATCTCCCTCGATGTGAATAATATACCTCTATTGATGCATCCTATGATTATGTCCGGTGGGTTAGGTCATAAGAAACTCATGATTCACACCCCAGGTCTTTACTAAAAGAACATCTGCAGACTCTGCTCTGCAGCTTACTGCATGAGGCACATCACCACTGTGGGATTCTGCTTAACAGCTCCTAAGTGTCCCATGTCCCCACTCATGGGGATGTTGGGAAGGTAGTCCATGCTTAGCCTCCACAATGGCATAGGTGGGAATTAAGAGAAATGAGCCAGAAAGCCTTGCTTAAGCCCCGATCCCCACCCGGTACCTCTTGTCCTGCTTGATGACCAGGCAGGTCTCCTGAATAGGAGGGGAGTCTCTTGGCCAGAAAGCCAACTGGAAAACACCCTCATTGAAATAAGCCAATGGGAGGCAGATCTGCAGGTGAGGGGGCCTGGGAGAGGAGACTGAGAGCCCACTGCCAAGCAACCAGGGCTGGCAATCACCTGGGGAAGAGGCTAGTGGCTGGGTGCTCTACCCAAAGGCCGATATGGCATTTAGAAGATGTGTCACCTGCCGATGAGGGCAGAGGAGGGGAAGGAAGTGGACAGGGAGACTTTACACAAAGTCACCCAGATTTGGACTGTTGAATTAGGCACAAAAACCAGCGGCTGATTTCTACATACCACAGCATCCACAGCAGGAGAATTGTCCCCAACCACCAACAAAGAGGGACACCTGGAGTCAAGGAGAGAAGGAGACTTAACACAAGGGTCATTTGAAGATTCTCACATGTCCGGGCCTGTCACAGTTCTTTAAAAATTTATTTTGGTTTCCCCAGTGCCCTTTGCTCTTTTTACTTCATCTTCCCTCCACCCTCTGCTTTGTTCTTAGGATAAAATGGGTTGGTAGTCATTAACACCTTAGTAGGAATTTCAGCCAAAGAACTTGCATGTCCTGATGTTTTTATTTTTAAAGCACCCTCTCCTCAAGGAAGGATGAGTAGGATTTTGCCAGCCGTCAACATAAGAGATAAAAAGATCATGTCTGGCAAAGGAAATGGCATGTGCCAAGCTCAGGTGTCAAATAATACGGTGTGCTCAAGGAACTATAAAATGACACAGTCGCTACTGGTGGAATGCAGTAGGTTGTATCCAAGACGGTCTTTTCCTCCCGGTTTTATAGAGCACCGCGAGGTGGGTCCTGTGTCATCCATCTCCAGGCTCTGAGAGGCACAACTAACACAGTATTGGACATACAGGAGGTGCTTAGAAAATTCTGTCCAAAGCGAGGCCAGCATTCCTCTTCTGAGAGCTAAGGCTCCAGCCTAGGTTCTGGGGCCACCCTGGGAACTGAGCACCCACACAGGAAGAAGACGGGTGGCACTGGGTCGTGCCCACTCCCGAGGCAGGACACGCCCAGTTCTCCCTGACTGCCACGTCCCAGGGCAATGGCGGCCGTCCTGCCGAAAGCGATGGAGAGAAAAGTGACTCACTGCACGGTGACTCCGTGTGCTCCGGGCATTGGCCGCTCGATCTCCAGGTCCCGCCGGCTACGGACAACAAAAGCACCGTCACATCAGCAGACCCTGCCCCGGAGGAAGCCCCTCCCACTGAGCCAAACCCAGGAGGTCCTGCCATCGGCTGTGTGAAGTCACGTGGCTTTTGGGACATCGCAGCCTCTTGGGGGTCCATACGGTTGGTTTCAGGGATGTGTCCCATGGAGCCCGCCTCATGGTTCCTGATGTAATTTTTTTCTTTTCACAGGAGTACAAATCACGTCCTCCACCACAGGGGTCCCTAACTCCTGTCTCCCTAGTCAGAGCCCCCACCTGACCAATGGACAGCCCCCCAAAATGGTCTCAGCCTCCACCCTTGGTCTGAGTCTCACTCACCCCCAATTCCAAGTCCTCTATATAGTAACCCAAACTCTCTTTAGAACTCAGATCTGATGGTTTCAAACCCTCCCGTGGTTTCCCATTGCAGTCTCGTGAAGCCCCGTGTGGGCCCAGCCTCGCCATCTCTCTCCCTACAGATATATGGCCCCCACGCCTCTCACCACCTGGCAGCTCCCAACGCCAGATGCCTTTTCCCAGCTATAGCCTGGAACCAGAGAGGCTGGATGCGAATCGTGCCCCTCCACTTCCTAGCTGTGTGACCTAGGATGCCAAACCTCCCTGTGCCTTAACTCGTCATAGGGTTTTCGGGTCGAGCCAGCTGGCTCCTATGCTCTCCATGAGGACAGAGCAGTGTGTGGGGTCTTGAGGTGGCTGTCGTTCCCTGAGCCCCTCCAATTCTCAGCACACATTTGCTGAATAAGCGAACTGCTCAGCCTCTGTGTCTTCAGTTCCTCACCGGGGATAGTTGCTCCCTGCCTCGCTGACAGGCTGGGAGGATGTGATCAGAGGAAATGGACACTGGACTTTCTTACAGACACCACTGCACTTCGTGGAGTCACGTTATTAACAAGGAAGGAGAGAGAGACGGGGCCCGCGAGCTCATCTCTGTGCCCCTGTGGGGCAGGGCAGAGCTGGCTCTGCAGGCTGAGTGAGTTCCCTAGAGATTCCGGAACTTCTTGCTGATATCAGTAGCCCTGAGCTGTCCCCTCCCCGAGCTGAGCTCCAGACAGACTGGCACCTGGTTACGGATAAGAGGGCTGCACCTTTGCCAGCGGCTGTGTGAAGATGCTCCAGATCTGAGAACGACTCACCCACTGCCTAGCAGCCTCCCTGGATCCCTCCCGCCCCCCAGCGCCTTGCCTCTCTCAGCTCTCCTCACATCTGCTTTCCTGTGGTCAGCCACGGGCACAGGCACGTACTCACCACCCTTTGAGGGCACGGCTGTGTCCCACTCGTGTGTGCATCCCAGCTCAGCTCCTTGCAGAGTGCTCCAGACTCCAGGGGGCACCTTACTTCCCGGGTACCCTTAGGGCACCCCTAACAATCTATTGCTCAAACTCTGGGGCTGCCTCTTCTATTAATACTACGACCCCTGTGTCCCTCACCCCCTGTCCTAGATCGACACTAGGAGCCTGACATAAACAACGATCACGTGACCGTGCGGCAGCTGGTACCTGTTGTAGGCATTGATGAACAGGTGCAGGTTGCCGGGGTTCATGTCGTTCATGATGTGCTGGCGGTAGGTGTGCACCACCTCCACGTTATTCTGCATTTCCTCCTGCGGTTAGAGAGAGGGAATGTCCGTCAGGGGGGAATGTCCGTCGGGGCGCTGTGGCCCTGGGCCGGCCACAACCCTCTCCATTCTCCAGGTTATTCAAGTGCAAAGTGAAGGTAACGGTGCCTGATCCGCAGGACTGCTGTGGAGCCCGAGGAAGCCTTCAAGAAAGTGGAAGCCGCCCCTCAGATGCAGGCTGATGCCTGAACGTCAGCGAGTAGCACAAAGGACACAAACCTGGAAGGGCAAAAGGCGCCTTTCTGGGCTGATGACTTGAGGGTTCAGACCCAAAGTCGGTCCTTTCAGATCTGGAAACCATAGGGGCTCAGAACAAGCCACCCCAGGGTACGTCTCAGTGGGATGTGGCTTATTCTGAGCTAAAGGCAACCGAGACCTTGCAGGCTCAAGAGACACTTCTACCCACCTCCTTAACTACCTAGAAGAATGTAAATTAGGAGCCTGCCCCACAATAAGAGTGAGCACCAAAAATGACTTTTTACCTACCTACCTGGCAAGGCGAACTAACAACGTGCTCTCCCTCAGTGACCCTCTGAAGCCCCCAGGTGCTCTGCCTCCTCCCGAGCTCAGAATGCCTTGTGCACAGCAATTTCCCTTTCTGTCCCTGAACCTCTCAGGAATGCGGGATTCTCATACACATACATGCATGTAGTTAAATTTGGCCATTTTCTCTCACTAATCTGTTTCATGTCTATTTAATTATTAGACCGGCCGAAAGAAACTTGAGGGTAAAGGACCGTTTCTTTCTCCCCTACAACTCCATCACTGCCCTTTCTTGAGCAAGTGCCTTAACCTCTCTGAGCCTCAGTTTCCTCCAAAAAAATGGGGAGGGGGCTGTTAATATCACACACTTCATCAGGTTGTGAGATTTAACAGAAGTTGTGCATTTTGGAAAGCCCTTTGTAAACAGTAACCATCAATGCAACTGTTAGCAATTGTTATTTTTTAATGGAGAGAGCTGAAACAGTTTGTCGTGAGTTTGCAGAACAAAGCCAACTCACGCAACCCGAAGTTAACGGGAAGGACGACCTCGATTTCTGCAGGGGCCAGCCCGAGCCTTGCAGAAGGCAGGCTGCAGCCTCCCTCCCTGAGGGCTCCTTTCTAAATGTGATAGGGACACACAAGCACGTTAGGAACTGGCTCTGTTTCTCGTCTGCACAACGGCAGATGCTGCAGGTTGCACAAAATGGCCCGATGTGGTCGGGGGCGACCAGAGCCAGTGTGGGAGGAAGCAAGGGGGCTGATGTCAAGCCCGAGCATCCATCTAAACAGTCCACGAGCATTTAAGCCACAAAGAAGCCAACAGGCTGTTCAAAAAAAAAAAAAATCAGGAAAAAATAGTCTGAGGAATTGTACTGGGATTTCAGATCAAACACACCTGCAGCAATGTGGGTTCACTGAGATCCCCAGATTCTCACCCTCTACTTGACACTGCTCCTCTAAGGAAACCCAGACAGTGACTCTGATTTCTTCTGTGTTCCTATCAGGTACAAATTACACAGGGAGGGTGGAGAACATGTATCACGAACTGAAACGAAGCATGAAAGAGGAGACAGGGTGAACGGTGGCCCCCAAGATAAGTCCACGTCACAACCCTAGACTCTGTAAATGTTAACTCATTTGGGAAAAAGCTCTTTGTGGATGTAATTAAGTTAAGGTTCCTGAGACAAGATCATCCTGGATTGTCCCCATGTGTTCTAACTCCAATGACAGGTACCCTCATAACAGAAAAGCAGGAGGAGATGTGAAACGCACACAGGCAAAGCCACGCAGAGATGGAGGCAGAGGCTGGAGTCAGAGGCCCTGAGCCAAGGGACGCCAAAGTGCCAGGCGCCGACAGAATTAAGGAAGGGTCCTTCCCAGACCCTGTGCAGGGCGCATGGCCCGGCCAGCGCTCGCTCTCAAAGTCCTGGCCTCCTGAACCGCGAGAGGATAAACATTGTTGCCGTCAGCTGTCCAGTGTGTGGCACTTTGTTACAGCCACCACAGGAAACCAGCACGAGGACCAGATGCAGTCGGCACGCTTCGCCAAGTGCATGACACATCGGCTCCGCCGGCCAAGCGTGCAGTCACACCTCCCACGGTCACGCTCTTTCACTCGGGAGCAGACAGTGGTGAGTGGACCAGCCATAGGACACAGAGCAAGTCGCCTCAAGCCGGACCACCAAGGGAGATTCCAGAGCCAGCCAAAATGCGTCAGATTTTACACTTTCAATATGTGCCATTTATTGTACTTCAGTCGAATTGTTAAAAAAAAAAAAAGACGTTGAAAAGGGAAAGAACACGTGATTTGATGATTATGAATGACGTCACATCATTTGGTGGCATCAGCACACGGCTCGCTCACTCGCATCTCGTTCTCTCTGTGCCCTATGTGCCAGGCAGCACAGAGCGGCTCAGAGTGGACGACAGTGCCAGACCACGCTACTCACCTTCCCAAAGAGGTGGGACACCAGCATGTCTGGAAGGGCTTGGGTCCACCCGGAGATCTGGGGGGCACAAAACCACTGGGATTAGAAAGTGGGCGTTCACAGCAGTGAGACACAGTCAGCCAAACCCCACGGACCTTGGGGTCCCGGCACTCAGGTCTGAGGATGCCCCTTGACGGGAACTTGGTTAACCGTCCTCGGTTACCTCCTGGACCTGGGGCGCCGGACATCAAGGCTGGGACTCGGTCCGTTCCCTACTCTCAGAGGCATGGCACACGTGTGCTCGTCCCCAGCTTTCTCTGCTCCAAAGCACAACTCGTCAGCAAGGAGCGCCCCGTCATTTTCTCTCAACACACACTGAGCTCCCCTAGTCCACACTCCAGGTCCGCTCACCTCAAACTACCCCTCTGGAAGCAGCCTCCGAATTTTCCCCTCAAGCTAGTTTCCTCTCTCTCAATGGACTGAGGTTACTAAAGACACTGAAGACCTTCTCATTGTCCAATGACAATGCTAGGCATACAGCAGGAGCTCCATAAATGCTAGGCACACAGTGGGAGCTCCCGAAATGCTAGGCACACAGTGGGAGCTCCATAAATGTGTGCTGACCAGCTTCAGCATCGGGCGGAGACCGGTGGGGGTCCGGAGGTGAACCTCGACTGCCACGCTCCAGCCATGTGGCCCTGGACAGGCTGCAGAGCCTCTGGGCGTCAGGCTGCCCATCCATAACTGGGGTGCCAGGAACTTGTGACTTAATAAAGTCACAGGCCAAGAAGAGAATTATTTGACACAACTACACACGTCACAGGATCTGTCCCGCTGCCTGACACCCAGTAGCCCCTCAATGCAGCTCCCTGGGCTAGGGTTGTTGAAAAGGAAGGATGTGGTACAGAGAGGGACACCCCATAAACATTCCTCAGGCTCCACTTTAGCTGATGGACAATGTCCCCAGCCCTCCACGTCTGACTCAGAACAGCTACCAAGAAGCCAAACTGGCTGACCGGAATGTCACTTCCTTTGCTGGAAAATAAAATAAAAACAGGGAGTGTGTTCGGCTCCTGAATGTCACGCAGCAGTGGGGGAAGGGTGCCTGCCTCTGGCAGAATGTTCCAGGAAGAAGTGCAAAACCAGGCTGGCCGACCAGAACATGGGTGGAATGTGGGGGGAGGGGCACGGCCCCTTCAACTGCTCTGTCCCCGACAGCCACCCCAAACTTGGCAAAAACATTTTCAAAATGAGAAGCCAGGATCACCCCAGCTTGAAAGGCCCTGTCTTATTTCGATTGGACCGGCTTCCCCATCTCCTTGGCAAATATTGGAGCTTTTGTGAAAAAAAAGAGATAATTATTTTTAAAAGGTAAACAAGGAACTCTAGGCCACCGGCCAGAGTAAAGCTTCCTGAGCTAGCACGGCCCCTTGTCCTCTAGTCAGGGATGTGCCTGGCCCCCTCTGTTCCCAGCGCTGCCTCGCTTGGGTCAAGGTGAGTGTGAACAAGAGCCTCGGGGTGGGCGGATGCAGCACAGATGGAAGTTGCAGAACCGGTTCTCCTTTTGCCTCACTTTGCGTGACCCTGGAAAGCTCCCTTAACCACTGCGAGCCTCAGTTTCCCCCTCCGTGAATGGTACGGCAACTCCACTTCCTGGAGGCACCATGAGGCCATGCATACGTAGCAGTGGAGAACACAAATGCACCTGAGAACCAACCATTCCTTACCTGTCAGCTAGTTACTGCTGTCGTAAAACTAAGTGGCATAGAATCAGTCCCAAATACATATTTCTTTTTCATTAATAGTATTTGGGTTCCTGAGATTAGAGGCATCTGTCTTATTGATCTTTTTATTTTCAGTATCCAGAGCAAAGCCGAGCAGATATCACGTCCCCAGAGAATACTTCTTACCCCAGGCTATGCTTGTCAAAGCTGGCTGGGGGTCCATGTCCCACGGGAATCACTACCTCAGACAGCAGTGTCTACTGAAATCTGAACGGCGAGGGGCTGAGGTCACGTTTACTGTCATAAGGAGAGCAGAGGAAGTCGGCCATCTTGGCAGGGGTCGGGGAGTAGGGGTGGTGGAGGGGAGGGACTGGTCTCTTAGCTCCACTACTCCTCCAAGCAGGGACCGGCACACCTGCCACCTGCATGCTGGGCTCCCGCCTGCCTGGCCTGGGCCCCCAGACCCACCTTGGAGGCGGCCCAGTCCATCCAGCCTTCTGCGCAAGGGTTCACGTTGATGAGGACCAGGCCCTCCACCATCTCAGGGTTGTTCAGCTGTAATTCAAGACACGAGGTAAGCGAGATGACCCAGCAAGGTCAAACCAAAGATGGAGAAAAGAACCGGGAAAAGGCCCGTGTGGGCCACCAGAGCAGAGCAGGCTGCTGCTCTCGTGAGTCTTCAGTACCCGCCACGCAAAACGGAGGCTCCAGCTCAGTGGACACTGGACTGTGTCTCTGAGGGGTCGGAAAGAGGAAGCCGTAGGAGAAACAGAGGCACATGTGCTCGGCCTTGGACAGGTCACTTCCCCTCCATACCCCTTAGCTCTCCCAGCTGTGAATGGGTCTATCAGGCCATCAACCTGATAATCACAGACACATAAATACATAAATACTCTTTAGTGATCAGTAAGAATTGTATTACTTCTAGAAGAATATATATAACACATATACATAATACTATCGAGAACTTATGCAGACTCCTATTCAGAGTCTAAATAGCCAGACCATTGCATATGGATCAGCATTTCTAACCTCTAGCAAAGTCCAGCAAATAAGAGGCAGTCAGAACAAACATGGCTGAATAAAATGAGCATCGCTGCATTTTTAAACAATTGTTTGGTACAGATACAAAGGATCCAGCAGCACCTGACTTGGGTCCGCAGCAATGGAAGTGACAACTGTCAAGTTAACACACATATATGATCCTAGTTTAGAACTGGTCGGGATCGAAGAGTTCCCTGACTACGAAAGCTGTCGCAAAGTAGCACAGGAGAATCCTCGGTGACATGAGAACCTGTCCACAGTCGACTAAGTGAGCAAAGTCGATAATGAAAGAAGGTGTCTAGGATGGCATTTCAGTGAAGGAAAGAGAAAAGCTTGTCAGTATGTACGTGACGCACGTGCCACACACACATAACTCTGGACCACACGCCGCAATGCGTGCTGTGTATCTCTTCCTTGGGAAATGGAACGATGGGTCATTTCTTTTATCCTTTTGGGATTTTTGATGCTCTCCCAGTTTTTTTCCTTCATGTGAATTAATTTCACTTAAAACATAATTTAAAAAAAAAAAACAGCCAAAGAACTCACAGCAAATCGAGTGAGGATGTAGGCGCCGGCTCCAGTTCCCATGCCGATAACACTTTTCAGCCTGGAAGCAGAAGTAAAAACAGCTCACGTCACAGAAGGAATGAGCACAGGAGCCTTATGGACCCTCTTACACCTCCCCGACGCCTTGCCCCTAAGGACCCTCACCTCCCCCGTGTCTGTCTTGGTCATCCCTGGCAAGCTAGACAAAGCAGGAACACACAGCTGTGAAATGCCCTCGTAACCTGAAATGCACCGTGCTTGGTGGCTTAACAGAAGGCCGTGATCTTGAAGAAACGTGTCTCCTTTTCCTCACTTCCCTCCTGACTACAGCCAGAGCCTGTGTGACATTTATGGGAAGGCCCATTACGGCTCTGCTTCTTCCCGCTCCTAAGCTTTATTTTGGATAGTAAAACTTGGAATGAAATAAATTGGGCAAGAACTGAGGTGTCGTCATCCTATGAAGGCTCCAATAAAAAGGAAATGAGCGTGGAGATTTAAGAGCCTGGAGAGAGAAGTTGAGAGCTCAGGCAACCCTATTCCAGAATGTTCCATTGGAAAGAGAAAGCAATGATGTCATCACTCGAGGAGAAGAGCCCCACTTACAAGCAGCAGATTGGAGCAGAGAGACTGTGAAAACCAGCGTGCACGAGTGGGGCAAGCAAATGTCTTCCCTGAGCTTTCGATTCCAACCTACATTTCAATAGTCAGGCTAGATCAAGGCCGAAAAAAATGGCAGAAGCTAGAAGTCACCCCGCTCTGCAGCTGGTGGGGGAGTGGACTGCTCACTCTTACCCAAACTGGTGAAGGACTCCAGGAAGCATTTCGGCCAGCTGATCCATGGAGGGGTACATGTACCTTGGGAGAAGCCACACAGAGACTGTTAGCGAGTGCCCGGATGCCAGCAGAAATGAATCATGCCAACAGAAACATTCTTGAAAGGGAGGGGCCAGGTAGGGACCTGCCCCACGCCCCAGAGCTCCCACTGAGACCCCCTGCCAGCTCCCCCCAGCGTACACGAGCCTGTGCCTTTGAGAAAGGATGTTCTCCATCCCTAATTCTCGCTCTTTCACTTTGTAAAGTGACCCTTTACCAACTGCTTCCCATGTCAACAGTCCCAACCAAAGCATCTGGTGAGCGTTATAAGCTTTTTTAACCCTTGCGACAACTCTGTCAGGCTGCTATGATTTCTCCCAATATAAAGATTTTAAATATCATTGAGGCCGAGGGTTAGATCAAAGACTTGGCTTCACAGAAGAATATATTTTATAGCAACAAAAAAATAAAAATAAAAGCCAGTCTAATGCCTCCCCTGCCACCTGTTTCCACCCCTCACGACCTTCCTGTCCCCGTCCTGGGGCACGAGGCTGCCCCTCTTACCCCATGGGGAAGGATGCGGCGCCATCTTGCTGCCCAGGGGCGTCCACGTGGCACACGGCGAAATGCTGGGTGATCTCCTGCATGTCTTCAGAGTTAAAGAGGGGGTTGTAGCAGGTTTTGTCTGGAGATTGGGCAGGGGAGAGAGGAGAGGAAGACATAGAAACAGAATGAATCAGGTTGCTTGGTGTCAAGTGTCTTCATTTTGTTGGCTTCGCTCCTATTTAGCAGAAGGAAATGGACTCGCAAGAAAGAAGGCCTATCTCTTTTTCTTTTCCCCAGTCCCACCTTCCTTTGGTGATAAAGGCAAGAATAAGTCACGGAATACGGAGTGAGTAAGGAGGTGGAGACGGTCAACAAATTCTGTCGTATGGGCTGGCGGATGACCTTCGACTTCCCGTAGGCACTGGACGAGGACTCCTGGCTCTGGTGTAAAGTGGGGTTCCCCACTGACTCTCTCTTCTCTCCGGGTCTCCTAAGCCCTCACATTGGGGATACTGGCCAGGGCATATGAGACTTTCAAACAAGGAGGTACATCAGAGATAAATCATGGACATCCCACTGCTGTGTGGCCTTGGATGGATCTTCTAATTGTTGAGGACAACACAGCCAACTGGTCACCAAACCATTTCCCTTTTCTTCCCCTACACTCAGCTGGCCTACATTTCCCAGCCTCCCCTGCACTTAGAAGCATCCATCTGATGCGATCAAGTTCTGGCCAACAGCATGTGATGCTCGCCACTTCTCATAACACCTGCTACTCAGTCCTCTCGGTTTCTCTCATCTACCTGCCAGATGCAGAGCCAGCAGAAGCCTCTGAGGCTCCAAGAGATGGCAGAGCTACAGCTAGAAGGAGGCTGGGTCCCTGAATCACCACATGGACAGTGTCCCACGGAACGCCCACTGAGTTGCTACATGAGTGAGAAATAAATTTATGTTGTGTTAAGCCACAGAGGTCTCGGGTCTTTTGCAATAGCAGTTAGTTTACTGTAACTAACAACGAGCCTCTCTAAAATGGGGTATAGCCCCAGCATAGGCAACCCCTCTTCCTCTCAGAGTCCAGAGAAATCAGGTGACCTCTGTCAAAGAACCTGGTTTGGGATCTGGAGTGTGGAGAATATGGGCAGAAAGACAGAGGAAGAAATGAGACAAAAGAGACGCGAGAGGAAAGAGAAAAACGTTCTTCGGTGATTGACATCCTCCCCAGAGAGAAACCAAGGGACTAATAAACCGTAGGGAAAAAAATGTAAATCAGGCCGTCTGTCAATCAAATATCAAGCACGCGTCCAGCTTGCAATGCTCAAGTTTACAGATCCTACAGGGGCCTTCTGAATCGCCACAGAAAGGTTCACTTCTATTCTGAGTAATTTTAATATCGAGTCGATCCTATTCCATTACCATTTGTGAAAAACGGGGAACCCACATATGGTAATGCTTCCTGGTAATCTTAAGAATTCAAAGTCTAAACATTCATAGCAGCAATATTCAGAACAGCCAAAAAGTGGAAGCCATCCAAATGCCCATGAACGGAAGAATGCGTAAACAAAGTGTGTGTATCCACACAGTGAGATGCTACTCGGCCATGAAAACCAAGTGCCGATGTGGATACACCTTACACACATCATGAAAGAACCCAGTCGCAAACTCCCACCTACTGTGTGACTCCATTTACACAAAATGTCCAGAATAGGCAGATCTTTAGAGACAGAACGTAGACTAGCAGTTGCCAGGCGCTGGGGCGTAGGGGACATTGCGGGGTGATAGATCGGAGGACAGGATTTCTTTTCAGAGAAATAAAAATGCGCTAAAATCTCTTGTGACGATGGGGTTGCACAACTTGTGAAAAGAACTAAAAAGCACCGTCCACGTCTCCTGGCAGCTCCAGGCACACAGACGGCTCCGAGCCCCCGCGCAGTGCATTCCAGACTCTCCCAGTCGGTGGCAAGACTTCCCCCCAGAACAGCTCCAGAAAGTCCCAGCAAGAGAGAAACAGCTGGACCCCGCGCCACCGGCCCGTCCTCGCGGTCCTCCTCCCCTGCTCGCGGTGGGAACAGGCTCACCAGGAGACCACAGCCCCCCGGAACTTACGGTTCATGCCGATGTCATGGTACGTGAGGATGACGGGCCGGGTGCCCTTGGGGGTCCCGCACAGCGTGACGTGAATGGAGCCATGCAAAGTCTCGACGTCCTGCTCCTGAGGAGAGAGAGCAGACAGCAGGGCCTGTCATGGGGGCTGGCGGCGTCGGGGGCTGCAAACACTGCAGACACTCGGCTGTGTCTCCAGGAAGCTCCAAAGGCCCTCCTCACCTGGTCATGAGGACACTGGGCAGCAGAACTCTGGCCGGAGAATTCTCTCCAAGGGTCAGGGAGGGAAGGGGAAG